CCTACAAGGAAGAAGGTTCTGCTCACATATTCCATATATAAACATCCCTGCAAGTTCCTTGATTCCTGATGTTCATAAAAACAAATTCTGGATGAGGAGCAGGAGTTAGAGGAAATTTTTACAATGAATAAATTAAAGGAAACTAAGGTGTTTGCAAATTTGTTGTAATATTGACAGACTATTTTGAGACAGATATAAAAGGGAAAAAAAGAGTTATTTTAAAGCTATGCTTTTTTTCAGAATTAACTTTTTTTTTCCAGAGGCTTACAGACCTTGAAAGGGAAAGAAAGCAATTCTTGGCTCAGCTAAAACAAAATCATTTGCAATTCACATCACTCCACCCATCCGAGGCTGACTGACTCCCTGTTTTACATGCTCTCAAAGTGCTCAACACTTCACTGAATTAAACCCTCATCCATCACATGCAGTTTTCAAAGCATCAAAGTGGTGGGAAGCTGAACCCCATTTTTGGAGGTTCAGGGTGCACTGACTTTGCTGTGCTTGCTGATGATAACTCAGTGTATAGCCAAACTAATGCTTTCAGGGAGTGCCAGAGCTACTGTGTTCCCACTTACTCTGGGGATAACCAGAACAGCCGTATGTCCTGAAAGCATTAGATGTACTGGACATGCCTGGATTAGCTGCAGGTGCATGTGGACACACACAGTCCATGTGGACTCCAGCATGCAAGTGGAGATACAAGAGCTTCCCACAAATGCAACACCCACGCAACACTTACCCCAGCAGCTTCACGCACCCAGACTTCTGGTGCATGCCGAGTTAGCAGTAGCCTTTGAAAACATCGTCTTGAATGTCCCAAGGTCCAAGGAGGAACTGTACCCTCTGCAGAGCGTCCCTGGGTTTGAAGACTTTTTTCCCTCCCAAGGTAAGAAAAGTGTGTGCAGTGGCTGAAGAGGATCACAGCATCCTGAATCCTTTTCAAACTGCTGCTTTAAACTACCCAAATAACTGCATCAGGATGTAAATATTTTTCTTTTTGCTTTTGTGGTACTTTACTGTTTGCATCTGGCTCGCCACGGCTCCACGCCTTCCTCTCCAGGACATTTGCCATTTGCTCTCCTTCTAGTGCGGGAGGAGGAATAGAGATTTTTCAGAGGTTTAGGCACATTCCTCTCCTTCCTTCACCAGACTCTTCCTTTGCCAATTGTTTAGTCTCAGCCTGGGGTTAGAGCTCTGCAAAGTTTTATTGCGATCCAGGGTCTGGACCTGTCACAGATTATCAAATAAATCTCCAAGAAGCTAAAAGCTTGCTCTGTAAGTAGTTGTTCCAATGTTGGGCTTACGTTCATAAGCCAAAAACATCTTACTTTTCTTCCCTTGCACGGCCTCAGAAATCATAACAATTAGGTACTAATAAGAGTTCAAAAGGACTTCAGGGAGCTCCTCAGAGGGTCAGTCCCAGCCGCTCAGGCTCTTGTACCACTCCTTATCTCCACCGAGGACATCAGCCTCCACTGGTCCCCAGTGGGAGCCAGCTCAGGCGCACGATGTCCTGTGCATCACTCTCTATCTTACCTTTACCGAGCAGCGTCAGTGATTTCTTCACGCTTTCTAGCAAGCCAGGACCTCTCCCCTGGCCAAACCCGACCCCCACCTCTCCTACCTGGTGTGAGGATGAAGCCACGGTTTCCTCCTCTGCCTGTATACCTTTCAGGTGTCCTCTCACCCCACGTCCAAGAGCCACTGGGCAGTACGTGTCTGCTGGAGGCAAGCGTCCCAGCCGAGGAGTTCAGTCCCCGCTCAGAGGCACAATATCAGCTGGCTGGTGCACGGATGCCAGAGCGACTAACTCACCAGGGAGCAGAAGTCTGGCCAACAAAACACTAACCTTTCCCTGTAGCAACTTGTTTGGCCATTGCTGAGAATTTCAAAGAAACGATGGGACATCATTGGTAACAAAGCCTTCACCTACCTCTTTGAGCAACCTGTGTGACAAAGACATGCATAGTCTGAAATCGCCTGCTGCCACCAAGTAACATCATGTTCAAACCAAAAGGAGTCTGTCATCATTTCAGGGTAACTTTGTACTTAAACGGTAATCAGTGAGGTCATCAGTTGTTTCTCAGTTTGCTTACAAAGCTCTATTTTTGTCTTTACTTCAAAAAGCAGCAGCATGAACAAAAAAATCAAAGAGAATTAGCCACTAATGCTGGCAGTATTTCAGTCCTCAATGGGAACAGAAAATCAATATGAGCATTGTCTGAAAAGAACACAAGACTTTACCCTGCGCAGCACATACTTTATCCTGGGTTTCATTCCTGTAGGTCCTTAATTAAATGTTTGCATCAGTTGGACAAACATAATTCCACCAGTCATTAGCTACAGATACAAACGCATTTATAACTCCTTGTTATATTCAGTTCGATTAGAAGACATTATCATAAGATCACTGCATGCTTACCCATCAATGCAAGCAGATGGTAGTGAGTTGACCTAAGATGCCATGGCAGATGGACACTTAGTTTTCTTAAAAGCAGACATTAATGGAGGGAAAAGAGGACTGAAGGGAGAATTCCCTACATCCGCTGAAGTTTGTTGTTTTCCCTGGATATCGCTAACGTTTCCACACCAAATTTCATTTCCAGTCCCTATGATACTGAAGAACAGGCTTTTGCCTTTGAAACTTACCTTTTGATACCAAATCATGGATATTTTGAAACACTTCTCCTCGAGACGGGCAGCCCACAGGCTTTTCCTATCCTGCTCTGTGAGGCACTGCTTGAAAAATAAAGCTCTGCCACAGTGGGTAAGATGAGAATATATTTATTAGTTATAAAATATACAAGTGAACGCCATCGGTTTGGTACAATCCCATAAAAACAAGAGGAGGTTGTGGTGACAGCGGCGAGCTTTGCCTGGCTGGTGTTGCCCCAGTGATGCTAATCCCGGGGCGCTGTGGGCCCTGCAGAGATGTGCTCCGAGTGGTTCTGAGAAAAAGTGAATTTTAGCGACTCGTCAGTATTAGCTGGGCATTGATATTCTTTCAGCTTCAAGGGAACATAATGCTGTAGAGAAGCAGCTTTCTGATAACCAGCATGATTAAGGACTTTAATCCAGGAGGGTTTGGCTTGTCCTTTATAGCCAAGCATGGCAAAACTTCCTGAAAAACAGACACAAAGAGAGTGACCCTCTGGATGGGTCGGTTCACTTATTAGCAGCACAGCATGGACTCCCTCCAGACATCATGGAATCTTCTTCACCCTTCTTTTTTCCCTTGGATTGAAATAACAGACATTTAGGAGAGAAAAAGGGTGATGAAAAAGGCAATGAGCCTCGCTGAAGCCATAACCTCACTGCATCCCAGATCTGCAGGTATTTCAATAAGCTAAGACAGGTTCCCAGATGTCAGTTAGCAAGAATATCATTTTACTTTTTTTATTTGGTACTTTTTCATATTTGACTATGTGAAAATGGTTAGGCACGTTGAATCCTTCTTTTATTAGTTTACATTGGTTTCTTCCTGTTATGCCTGAACTATTCCCCGTGTCGACTCTGCTCTGGTCCTCTGCTGTCACAAAGTACAAAGGCATTATGTATTCTTCCATTTTAATAATAATGTCTTGTGTTTATATTATGTTTTTCATTGCAAAGACTCCCAAGGCTATTTGCAGCTGGTTGGATCGAGACCATTCCTGTAAACACTTCTAATTTAAATAAGGTTTTGCAAAACGAGGCGACGAGACTCTAAATCCTGATCCCGCTGGGGTCAAGGGGATCAGAGTTTTTTGGCATTATCCCTGGCAGAAGCAATATGCACTTGGGAGAAAGACTCCAGCCTGCCCTGAAATGCAGCCCCCCCAGCGTGGACCGGTCCTGCGTGCGATCACTTTTGGAGCTGTGAAGTCAAATAGTGCGCATACCTGAATCAGCAGGAGAAAGCTCACGGAGCAGAACATAATTACCCAGACTGGAAATCAGGGCAGACATGTGGGTGAACACCCTTGCCCTTAGGAAAAGCAAAACAGGGGCGGCACGTGGTCGGCCAGCAGCGGCTTAGTCCCACTGCCAGACACCAGCATCCCACCAGAGTGGCAGGGCAAGGGGATGGCCAGCAACCAGCGTGTCCCCGGCATGGCGGTGGCCCTGCTTGCTGCTTTGTGTGCCCCAGGAGTAGCTGGGGCTGGAGGCTGAACCCAGCTCCCGAAACGACGTGGAAGCGCTGCGCCCAAGTAGAGCGGCACAGGTGGTTCAGGGAACAAAGTTTGATAAAACAAACAAAAAAGATTGCTTTTTAATCAAAAAATTCCTTTCAAAAGTATTCAGGGCTTTGATGAAAGAATGAAGCAATGAAGTTTCAGGACAAAAACAAACAAGAAAACCTCGAACTTTTGCTTTCAAAAGGATGAAAGAAAAAACAGCTTCTTGGGACTCAAACAGGCACCGAAGTGAAATCACTGTCTCTGCTGTAGAGACTATGCTGTCCTCCTCTGGAATGGTCAAAGCAATAAGCTTTGAAACTTGAACCCGAAATTGATATAAATTTCAGTAAAGCAGTAGGGGAAAAAAATCCCCAAACTCCCCAGAAAAAAAGCAGCTAGAAATATGGGCAATTCTCCATCTGATCTCTGCTTGAGATATCTCTGCAAATGAAATCTGAGTCAAACTGGCTAGTTGTTTTCTTGATTTCCTTATCACTCAAATTATTCATCTAAACCTGGACCGAGTAGCCCCCAGTTTTCCAGTAGGAAACCCAGCATGGATTTCCCGGACCAATGATACCAATGGATTTCTTGTAGCAATCCAAAGTAAAACTGTAATAAGAACTTTCCAAAACTGGTGATTTCACCTTCCTTCCAAAAAAATAAATAGCTCCTATTTAATTTCAGACTGTTTTCTTCTTAATCAACCTTTTAGTTTATGATTGTTTTTCCTTGCAAAGCAATTGAATTTTAGAGATGGAATCTTTATCAATTTTTTTGTTGTTGTTAGAAAAACAAGCTCCATTTAGAATGAAAAATTTGCAGTGTGCAGCTTCTCACTGGCGAAGTAGGGTCAAAACTCCAAAATAACTCTCCTACTTCTCACCATCCCTAAGCCAAGAGATTTTTATAGGTTACACTGGCATATTTTTTTGTGGTATGAAATATATTGATAACCACTATATAAGTACGGTTTTGTTAGGGAAACACACCAGTAATTCTTAAGCAAAAGAAACATGGTAGAATAAATACATTTACCTTCCTTGTGGAAGACAATAGGCTTTGCTGAACCTAACCTGGTAAAAACAGACATTTCAGAGCTCCCTTCCACGTCCGCAATCTCTCTAGAGCACACGAGAACAAGTGATCTGAAAAGAAGGACAGTAATTACTGCATGACAGCAAAATATTACTTTCCCTAAGAATCTGCAAGACCTTTAAGCTCCAATTCAGAAAAACACTTAAGAGCTTGCTTAACTTTAAGAACATGCTTTCATGCTTTTCTCCATTTCAATCACACATAAGCTTTCCTAAGTTTAAGCCTCTTGTTTAAATGTTCCTAAATTAAACCTGTGCTTCACACAGAATAAAAACAAGCACAAAGGACTGTTTGCGAGTGCATCCCTTATGGGAATGTGACACTCAGCTGCAGAAGAAATTCAGTTGCTCTACAGTCCCGAGACTCTGAAACCATCTATATCCTGGGTTTGGTTTTCAGTCACGCCTCGGTCCGGCTCTGGCCCTCACAGATGTACTTTCAGCCCCAGTGAATTGTACCTGCAATGAATTTCAGGTTGCACAACTGGCTGCATTTAGCTGAATGCCTAGACTTGCAAAATACACGTCCTACCAGGAAATCAAACCGAATGTACAGGCATCGTATGGATATATGTCACATCATGCACATTTTAGACATGTACATACTCATGTGCACAAGTACAGATGTAATAGCTCAGGAGTGTTCAAATCTTTGGTCATGAACTGCTCAGAAATGTTTTGGACTGAAAGTCTGTTTTCTGGTTATTTGACCTGCTTCTGCCAGCAGCCAAGAATTTGTCTATAAATCTCTGTTGTTCCATGTTTATGTGGTGACACACAAAACCACAAGGAATGTGGGACAGACACAAGCAGAGATGATCCAGACCATTGCCAGGACACACGCAAGGTAACAGAGCCCGCAAGCAGGCAGGTCTGTTCATCGGCTCACCCAAGAAAAGTCCTGTTGGAAAATTTGGCACACCTATGATTTTCGTCTGTCACAAGAGGCAAAAACAATCAGTAAGAGTAAACAGAAACCAACCAGTTTCAGAAATGGAAAACTGAATCATCAGCTGCCAGGAAATTGCTGGCCACTGGGATAGGTGCGCAGGATTGCAAATGCCATTGCAAGAACCTTATCTACTCCATGCTGGAAAATGAATTGTTACTTTAGAATGAATAGCCAGTTTTCCAGAAAACCTGTCTCTGTCTGCTCTAATCTGTGCAATCCTGGGAGAGGGACACTGCTTCTCTTATTAACTGGGTGATATTTGGCATTTGTACATATTTAATCTGTGCCAGATTTCTTCAGAGCACAGGTTTGGGTATGAAAGTAGGTCATTTTCCTTTCTTTGTTATCAGCATGGGTTGCTACATGAACCGGGCTCTCAGCAGTTTGCTTACCTCTCTCTTATAAATGTTTGAACATAATCAGTTATTGCACTGGCAGCGTTTTCACCAGTAACCGTGTCAAAGTGCCGCCTACTCACAACTGCTCCTGAACATGCATCTAGCACCATGAAGAATATCCCATGGCTGTTGAACAGGAAAACTGTGTCGTTTATCTGCAAGAAAAAACAGAGGCAGGTTTTATGGAGGCAGGCTGGGGAGCTTCAGACTCTGATCCTACTTTTCCACAGGGGAGTTACAAGCAAGGAAAATATCAAGGGTGTACACCCTATAATTTTAAATGTGTAATTAGTACAGATGAAGTGACATCACTTATAGATGGTCAGTGGCAGGAGGAAGCAAACCCCTTAGTTCTCAATGGGGTACAAAAGTATGAGAAATGAGGTCATCACATCTTTTGTGTATTAGGAAGATACATTTGGGAAGCCGAGAATCCTGGGAGTAAAATGCTTAGTTCAGTCTTAAGACAGTTTCTTTCCATGTAGGGGAAATTACTGTCACTTGGCAAAACAGATTTGACCATGGAGCAAGGGAGAGGTGCTGAGACAGCAGATGAGGGAATAGAAGTGACACGTGGACTTTTTTTTGTTTTCCCTGGAAATGTAAATATCAAACCCAAAATATTCCTTCTTGGTAGGGCTGCCCCAGCGCCTCAAAGAAGTTGTAGCACAAGCGGGTCCTACTCCCCTCCTTTCCTACAGCAAGGGCTCCTTCCCCAGGTTACACTTCTCAGGATGTGCCATGATACTTGCTTTTAGAAAGGCAAAGGTTCTCCGAGGTGCCTGGCACTGGTGCATCGCCCCAGCATCCCGGGGGACATCCCAGCCTGGGAGGACACAGCCTCCACTAAGGAGAGCAACAGCATACCAAGGTCAGGCTGTCAGAAAGCCGAGCCCAAGATACGCAACATCCCACTGTAATGCACATAGTGGTCCAAAGCCCACAGGCACCAGGGAGCTCAGAGACATCCCATCAGTCTGAGACATGTGAATGCCTCCAGGGAATATACAGCCAGACTGAGTGAGGGAGCCAAGTGTTAAAAAGCGCCTTCTGCAAGATGTCGGAGGACGCTGAATGCAATAGGGTGTCAAGGGTAAGGGAAACATGAATGTCCGGGCCATGAGTGGGCAGAGGGGCAGTGAGGAGGAGCAAAGACAGAGTAAACCTTTTGCTCGGTGCTGGCTGTCTCACGCTTCTTAGCCTGGGAACTGTGTCAAAGTCTGGATGCACACAGAGCAGAGAGCAACCACTACCGCAAACCTACCAAAATGTGAGCCGCTGGCAAAAAAGAGCCCTGCCGTGTGTCTTGCCCCTGCCCGCATGCTGCAGACCCGCCGAGGAGCCAGCGAAAGGGCTCACCTGGCCCCACGGGAGCTGGAGCACGGCACCGCCACACCCGGTTCACTCAGTCCTTGGGGAGCTTGGATTACAAATTTAAGACATTTCTGACTTTTGCATTTAATTCAGCAAAACGAGAACAAAACATGTGCTTTGGTAGTGGGAGCTCCTCTGCTTCACTCCTTTATTTCCAAAATTTCCCGCTACTTTTAAGATTTAGGGTAAGAATCCTCCTCTAGACATTAATCTTTATCATTTGCCTAGCCCAGCCTTTACTTCAGTACATGTGTCAGAAAGAAAACTTCCTTTGAAAAACAATACTTTGCATTAAAGCTTTAGAAAAGACAAAGAAGCTTTGAGGATACTACGCTTGTCCCACGAGTGCTACACACACGTAGGTCTCTGCACTTCACCGCAGGTGAGGATGCTGCCTCCGGTAACACCTGCTTGTTAATGGTTTTGAATAAATTTTTGATGATGCAGTCAGTGCACGTGGCAAGAAATCTCCGTAAGGATGCTGTACCAGCTTTGCTTGGTGTTTGTTAGCATTAATTATAATTCAATAGCACACAGGCATGTAAGCCTGGACAGTGTCCTTGCAAGCATGATTTCAGTCACTCTTCATCCTCTAGACAGACATATAAGGCATGTGCAGGGACAACCTGACAGCTCCAAACCCCTTCAGTAGTGAAATGTAGTTATTTTTATCTTTCAGTGCAATGCCAGCAGAGAAAATCAGAAAAACAAACTTGTTTTTTTTCCCCACATCCTTTGTAAACAATGACTTCTGGTGTGTGCTTTCCCTCTCCTCTTCCTCTACATTAGAGTGGTGGTGTTGATTCTTCTTCTGAGGTGATAAAAGGCCTTTTTTTTTTTTCCCCTAAAGGCTCAAATCCTCATCTGAATAGAATATGAACTCCCAGTGACATTAATGGAGTTAATTGTAAGGGAGAACAATGCACTTGCCTCTTCCAGGGGAACTTCCCATTTCCTTCTGCCAAGGCTCAGCAAGATTTTGCAGTAACTTTCCTTGGAGATAAAGTTTCCCCCTTTTAATCACCATTTCAAATGTGATAAAACAGAACATACCTTAATGAACGCGGATGTCAAGTGGTTTTGTATGTCCGCCCTGCTGAGAGACTGGATCTGGACCTTGATGTACTTGACTGAGGGTGTGCTAGTGATAGCAAGCTGCAATTACACCAGAGACGGAAACTTAAAAACTGGCTTGCCCAGAGGTTTTCATCAACAAAATGACACCAGGTACCGATGCTCGTACATACGATTGCAAAACTTGAAGAATTCTTTTTTCAAACTGTGATCCTGGTTCACAAGTAAGTGCTCATCATTAAGACACCATTTATCAAAGAGTCATGGCAATGCTGGTTGGAAGGGACCTCTGAGGGTCACTCTGCCACTACGTAAGTTTACAAGTTGAATATGAATTTCATAAATTTTGCCAGGCTATAAACTCCAGTGCAGATTTGTATGAGCCTGAAACAATTGTACAGGATTTAGAGTGGTGTGAATTTACAGTAAATGAGAGGAGAACCTGGGTCTAATTTTCCAGTTATTCCTATTAACCAGAATTACTTCCCAGTTTGAAATTCAGCAGCAATGTCATGCTTTGGAATTCAAAGCTAATCCAATCTGAGCCCTCCCAAGACTCTTTTTTTCCTTGTTTAAAAGAAAGAAATGGGGGGAAAAAGTGACATGAATGTGCCTTCACATGCTTCCAGCTGGGCAATTTCTCTGAGGCTATCTTTGAAGCAGAGTACAACAAGCTGCAGAAATTCAGAGCACACCCCTGCCCTCTGCACAGGTTACATGATGCTGGGCAGATTCACGAGTAGGAATTCCCTACGGCTTTTCCTTGTGCGCTGTGAAAACAAATTGACCTCATGTGGATGTATATATAGATACACGGTGCATAACCCCAGAAGCTGTTTCATGCAGCGGGTACCTGGGGGGCCCCACACGCCCTGCACGGCCCAGCCGGGTGCTGGGACACGGGGCGCTGGGCAGCTGCTGGCCTCTGCGGGAAGGGGTTCGGGTCACAGCTCCAGGAGTCCCCCGGGTACATTTGCGCTGTGATTTTAATACGTTCGCAGCCTTGCTGAGAGCAGTAACTGTGTCCTTTCCGAGCTTCGTGGGCTTGCAGGTGAACAAATAGGTACCTATAAGTGAGAGCAAAGAGAGGGATCAGAGCCACCGTGTGCTTAGAGGAAAAGCTGAGCAGAGGCAGGGTCTGCACTTGCCAAATGGCATTATCCCTCCCATTTCCCAACATCACAAACCAACTCTGTCTTAGACCAGTGCAATTCGGCACAGCCATTGCACAATAGGTCCTGCAAGGATGCGGGTCGATCTCCCCTCTCATCCTGGCATGATGAAACCTGCAGTACTTGCAGCCTGTATGCCCGGTACTTGCAGCCCAAGGCGTGGTGGCATCCCACCAGAGAAAGAGCAGCAGTGGTGCTCAGGCTGTTGTGCAGAAGGAGACAGGCTTGCCTGGAAATATCAGCATCTCCCTTTCCAGTCTCTGCATTGCATGGTCCTGGCCTGCAGGCAGAGCTTAGCCCTAGGCATGCATGACAAAAGCTCTAAGGCAGTCAGGTCTTGGGGACTTTGGAATTCTTTTTTTTTTTTTTTCTTCTAGCTGTTCTAAGTATGTTTTCAATAGTGTCCATTCTGCAATTCAGGCTGAGGAAATTATATAAACAGCTCAGTTCAGCTCCAGGATCAAAAAGATACATGAGTTTTAAAGGGATTTTTCTTTCTATTTGTTTTAAAACTAAATATTTGTTTCTATTTGTCTAGAAGAAAGAATGAGTAAGCTTGGTTCCTCTCCAAGGATGCAGCATGTGGGGTTAAAAAAAGAAGGGGAAACATCCCACTCATTATGAAATAAAGTCTAAAAAACAACAACAGGAAAAGAAGAAAGTCAATCCTGTAACTTCTGTACTCTGAAAGGCTAAAAAAAATCACTTCTGAATTAAACAGAGAACCAAAAGGCTGATACTGCCAGAATCAAGTTAGGTTAGACCCATCGGTCTGCATGTACCAGGTCCAGAGGGCTGCTGGCAGCTCTCCCCCACAGAGCCACACGTGTAACCATTTCCCCCACTATTCAGTAGTAAACACCCTGTATACAGAATTTGGGCAACTTTTTTTTTTTTTTTCCTTCAATAAAAAAAGAAAAGGAGGATTAATTAGCAAATTGTTATTTTACAATCCCTATCACGAGAGAGACCTGGCCATCAGCAAGGAGCCCGGTTAGCAGGGAAAGCATTCTGGGATTCGATTGCTCATGTGTTATGGTTGAATGAATAAATATATCCCATCTCATTTTCAAATCTGGCACTTGTGGATTGATTCCTGAAGTAGCTACTTAGTCAGGTGAAGCATCATGGGACCCATGGTTAAACCACAAAACACTTTTTTCCTCCCTAAATATTTTAGCTGACTGAGAAACACAGTTTCGTAATATGTTTTTTTAACCAAAGGTGTCCTAGAGTCTTATAAAGATAGTGCAAGATGTCTAGGACTCTTTTCACACCTTCAAAATATGAGATGTACTGTGGTGCTTTCCTTTTTTCACAAAATCTACTTTGTAGAGTGTGATGATTTTAGAAATCTTTCTTTATGGGAATATGAAGTAGTTGAAACTTCCCAAACTACCTCACAGTGCTGGAGCTGCAGCAGTCACGAGAGGGCTCCTTTTCCTGGCCCTTTGGAGTGCGATGGATTTTAACAAATATTTACACCACAGCCACACCTGCAGCAATCTGAGCAGTAGGGATGCCTCAAAGGAGCTAAATCCAGGCAAGAAATCAGCAATTTTCTTAACGCAGCACAATGCAATGTGAATCGCTGCTCGGTGATACAGAAATGGACCTACCCCAGGTACTCCAGCCTGTAAATCCATTTTCACCTGAAATCAGTGAAAGGACCATGCAAGATAGGCCACAATTTTAACTTTGAGAATGCTAAAGGATGTGTTGGGGCTGGTAAGAGAAGGACCCCAAGGCTCCGCTGCCCCTCCGTTGAGGGACCCTCAGAGGCAGTGCAGGGCTCACCCCGATGCTCTGTCGAAGTAGAAGAGCCGCTCGCCGGTCCCGTTGAAAGCGCTGGCCTGGGAAGGCGCGGCGACGTAGTGCTTTACGCTGTGCACCGTCCCTGTCCGTCGTTGGTAGATATCTGCCACCACCTGGAAAACGGCTTCCCTGGGATAGCAAAGGGCAACACGCAGCCAGTCTCCTCTGTCGGCAAAAAGGGGAGGCAGGGGGAAGACAGAAAATGCACTTAAGGGCTTCGGTATAAGAGAGATGGTCTGCAGCCAAGAGTACAGTCTTCAGGGGAAAACAAAGAAATGTCCTTTGAGGTTCTCTTCCCCCTTTAAAAAAAACCCGCAACAAATCCTCAAAGCCAAAGAAAATCAGATTTTTTTTGCTTTGTCTGGAAACAACGGCTGCTTATTACGAAGATCTGATCCAGGGACCCTGGCTGACCTCAGAGGACTTTGAGTCAGGTGCCAGGATGGCTTAAAACCAGAGATTTTTCTCTTCCTTGCCCCATAAGGCTGCAGTACAACCAGTCACATACCCACTTGCGTCTCCTGAGGCAGCCGGGGCTTGTTTTAGTTCATCCGGAGCTGCTGCAGGAGAGGGAACCGGCATCCAGCAGACGTTTCACCAGGGGCACAGATTCAGGAATTAGAAAGTAATCTCTGACTTGAACCAGAGCCACAGTCTAAAGAGACCTGCTTCCTCCACTTTACAGCAAAGTTTATTATTATGGTTTCCATTAAAATCTCCCTCTCCCCTGCTCTTGCTTCAACATCAGTTTAGAATAACTAAGGGTAAAGTTAAATCATCTTTTAACTCTTGTGTATCACAATTTCAGCGTACGCATTTACAAAAAGTTGCCCCCATAGCTTTCCTTTATCCTGTGATTCGCATCGCCACCCTCAGAGAGAGAAAAACTGGCTCCAAATTTGAAACGTTTGTCACTCGGCTCAGAGCCAAAAGATGCAGTTACGGTGTGCTTCGGATGCTGATGGGAAGGATCTTCCACAAAATCCACCACCCTTTCCTGTCTGCGGGAGGCACTTGTGCTGTGCAAAGCACAAAGCCACAAGAAGTTTACACTTGAAAAGAAAAACTGAATACCAAGATAATTAGCTTAATTTTATGTTTTTTTCTCTCCAGACTCTGAAGTGGCTCAGTGTGCCACATGAAGGTGCCTGAAACAGTGCTGTGGTTAGCTTTCCTTATATTACCAAAACCATCCAGGCTTTAAATGTATTCTTTTAACTGCCTGGCTTCCTGGTTAGAATGTGAGAATATAAGTTTGTCTCAGAGAAACATCACCTTCATCGGCTGTCTTTCTGGGTCCTACAAAGCTCAGAAAGATAAAGTTTCTCCAAAGGCTGCCCTGAAATGACCTGCCACCCATCCCTGCCTGCAGAGCAATAAATGGGGGGAAACCGCTTTGATTTGGAGAAATCTGGGAATCTGCATGCCTAGACCTCTACTTTGCATTACACATGGAGAGCACAAAAGCAAAGCTATTTCAGTCTTTCTGGTTTTCTCATTAAAACAAAACAAAACTATCTACAGGATGGAAGAGGGGACAGGCTGTTCTAGAATAATAAATCAAAGCCACACAAAGACCCATCAGCTTAAGCCAGATACTGCCCTCTAGATTTTAACCAACTCCAGCTGTGTCGTAACACAGGACAGCTAGAAAACGGATATATTTTCAGATGATTTGGGCTCTGACTAGAGGAAATGAAAGAAATGCACCAGAGCCATGTTTGTGGAATATTTTTAGGACGGAGTCCCAAGACATTTGGCAGTTTCATAAGGGTGATTTACATTGCATTAGCACATTTCATCCCCTGAAGACACCATCACAAAAAGAGCTTGTCATCTCCCTTGGATGCTGGGAACCAGCTTTGGTGCTGTGCTACACTGACTGCCACCTCCCCAGGGAATGAGAAAGGCACTAGAAAAGGCAATTGGAGAATGAAAGGAAAAGAAAAAAAAAAAAAAGGCATGAAAAACCCCACAGCTGCGACCATCTTGAGTCGCTGGGGCATTTGGGAATATGAGTGCTAGAGCCTAGTGTGCATGTCAGCAGGCTGAGTGAAATGCTGAAATAAATGCTATCAAGATTGAAAAGATCAAATGAAAAGTACCTACTTTGGAGTTTGTGGAGGAAGAGATGGAAATAAGTACATTCCCACAACAAAGGGCTTGGGAGGAGATGTGAGAAGGGAAGGTACTAGAAGTTATCCTTTATGTAAATACAGGAAAGAATAAGGTGGTTATTTTCTCTTTAATTTAGCGGTATTTTAACAGCTTCCTATTTAGTTCTTCAGCTCGTACAAAATCCACCGCAAACCCTCCCAAATACCTGGCTGTGTGGCTGAACTGGGCTCCACCATCTCCAGGAAAAGCCAAGCAAGCAACAACAGCGCTGCTGCGGAATGGTCCACAGGGCTCTGCCTTGCAGTGCCCCACGGAGGGGGACAGATGCCTGTTCTCTGAGCATTGCCAAAACTGAGGGAGAAAGGCAACCTAATCCACCGCAAACCCTCCCAAATACCTGGCTGTGTGGCTGAACTGGGCTCCACCATCTCCAGGAAAAGCAAAGCAAGCAACAGCAGCGCTGCTGCGGAACGGTCCACAGTTGCCCACGGAGGGGGACAGATGCCTGTTCTCAGAGCATTGCCAAAACTGAGGGAGAGAGGCAACCTCAGGCAACAAGCAGTCATCGGGCATGGGACGTCTTGGACATTGCATTCAAAGTAAAACAGATGTGCGTGTGCCTTCCTCAGCCACTGCGGTGGCCACCAAGGACCTCCTGGCTGGGTCTCCAGCACAGAAAGCCTTCCTCTTTTTCAGGATGGCTCCTGCTTTATTTCTCTGCTGAAACCTCACCATTCTGTCTTAATTACCAGCTGCTACTCTGGAGTGAATGTTTGCAGACAGAATAAGAAAAGTAAGTCCTTGTTCTGCCGCTCTCAGTACCGGCACATCAGCTGGGATCCTTGCAGATGCCCCAGAGGCTTAGGGACACACGCGGCACTAGCGAGAAGGGAAAACACTGAATTGATAGTAGATCCCAAATTAGGAATTCAGAGTAATTTCAGACCCCTGCCTGAATGGTGTGGGAACATCTGTAGCTTTAGATGCTCTTATGCTTAAAGACAAGCAAAGGGGGAAAAAAAGCCACATTTAAAACACAAGGGCTAGAAATCAGACTATCAATACGCAAAGTGCTGTTCAACGTAGCAATACACAGGGCTTCTTTTTTTAACTTTCATTCTTAGGAGTATTTTTCAAGAGAAACAAATAAAAATATTCTCAGATGAAAGTCTGACTTTGGAATTCACTGTCAGTTTGAGCGAAAGCCATATTAACGCGTTTAGGAAACTAACTTGAGCTTTTTAAGATATTTTCACCCCAAAACTAAGTAACCATGTTCACAATCTTTTCTGGTGATAAAGTTCAGTTCATTTCAGAAGTAAGGAACATTCTTCTTCCTTTTTTTTCATTCATCAGGCCAACATTTTCCTATGGGTATTTACCAAGAAAAAGAAAAAGGCATTTGAAGGAGAAAAGCTAAATAGGCGCTAGGAAAAAGTCAGTGTTTAGTAGGTCCTAACAGTTTCAAACATCACTTGGAAAATTTTTGAGAGTCTGCCGACACCAGCATGTATAAAACCTGACACTTCTGCCCCTCTGTTACTGTCATTCAACAGTCCCCACAGCGCATTTCATGCATTTTTATGAATGTATTTAGCCTGTTTATTTCCTTTTGGAAATGGCTGGGTGAACCAAACCCAAGAAGTCTTTCTTTTTTTTCACCAGGATATTGGCATTTGCAGTTCTGGCTCTTTCAGGTGAAGGAAAAACATCAGGCAAAGTGTTAAAAAACTTTTCTTATGTTTTGGCAATGAGCAGGTTTCCTGGGATAAGCAAAAAAAAGGATGAGAGAAAGGCAAAAAAAGCAGGCAAGAGGTTTCCTGTTCTTGGGCTAGTGGTAGATATAGATCTGCACGTACACACATACATACCTCATTTACAACCCTCAGAACAACCCCAGTTCAACCCCAAACTCCCAAAGGCGTAGCCACTCCAAGAAACGTGATCAAGCAGGCAAAGGAGGGGAGACTTTTGCAAGTGGTGGGATGTAAAGTGAGTCATGTAACTTGGAGGTGAGATTTGGCTGGAGTAAACATAGAAAGAGTGCATGTCTGGGATTCTCACCGCCTGGGAGAGGACAAGTAGCACTTGTTCAATATTGTGAACGTGCCCCTTGACTACATCGGATGGAGTATCAGTCCTGGGTAAATGGGTATGATCTAGTGCTGAGATTGCTGGTTATGCTGGATGCCAATCCTGGCTGTATTTTAGCTAAGGGAACCTCTAAGCTGATGAATATTATTCTAGAAAACAGCTCCACCACGTTTATTGACATGGTGTGTCACGTAGCTGATGACCATGGAAGTGCACAGTCCAAATCCTGATCTCACTGGTGAAAATCTGGGGTAAGCTAATGACGGAATGCCATAGAGTACAACTAAAAATTACTTATTTTTTCCTTAGGCTTGAAAAAACAAGAGACTTTAATCCAGTGAGTCAGTCTCCCCCAACTGTTATTAGTCCTATTTAAAAACAACCCCTCTGACATTTTGGTCAACATCTACGTTAGCTGAACTTTCAAAGGGAGTGAGACAACTGGGAATTTGAAACTTTCCTGTCCGTAATATGGGAACTAAGCAGAAAAATCCCCACGTGCTGCTTTGGTAAGTTTGTCTCTCACAAGCTGAATTTTGAACTTCAAAAGACAAAAAAAGCAAAGCTACCATTCAGCCATTCCAAGAACAAACCACAGGAGGTCAATGCTCCTTGCTCTCAGTCAGGATACAGCTGTTTTTTCTCTCCAAAAATGTCTCCTAACCTCCCAACAACCTGCCCAGCACCAGATTGAATCTCGTCTGGCACAAAACCTGCTTTCAGGACAAGCCACCTCCTCTCCAACCAGCATCACTGGTGGGGAAAATGGAGTGAGAAATACCCGCACACCTCACGGGTGCTGAGAAGAGTGGAGAAAGGGCTGCAAGGAACCTGGCCACATCCTCATCATTTTCTCCCAGTTCAAGCTCTTTTCCTTGAACCCACATTTCCCACCAGCTCCCTGCAGCTGTCACTCACTCCGTCTCTTCTTCTAGATTTCTTTTTAATTATTT